CAGTAGAGCTCTCATTTCCTCCAGAGGTGGTGGCTCTGACTGCTCCTTGTAAGCCAGTGTGATCTGCTCCATCACCGGGACCAGGACAAAGCCCATAGCCAGGATGAACTCTTGCAGGGGGAACTGCAGCGTCACATGCAGGGCTGCAAGAACCTCTTGTATGGCAGCGAGGTAGTCAGGCAGCAGGTCCAGGAGACAGGTGGCCAAAAAGACAACCCTGCGAAGCAGCTTACTAGGCTCAGGGCTTTCTGGCGGGAAGCTGATGCTTCATGGTTGGCACTGGGCCGGCACAGCACACAGATAGGCACCAGACTGCAGAGGAGCGTGAGCACCAGCAGCAGCACCAGGGCCCCCAATGTCACCTCCAGCCCCACAGGAACTGAGGGCTCTGAAGCTACCACCACTGGGTGCCACACCAGGACCTCTGGTTCTTCCCAGGGCCCCATGGTGGTTGTGGTAGCTCCAATGATTCTCAGACCTCCCGACAGTCTGGCTACATCGTATTCAAGTTCCAATTCTTAAAATCCTGGGAAATGACTTTGATTGGTCAGGAAGTAGAGTGTTTAAGATTATGGCAGCTCCCATTTAGACCATGTATATTGCCTCGGTGAGGAAACAACTTCCCCAAAGAGGTCTCAGCCCCGAAAAGAGAGTTCAAATCTGAGGAGAGAAAAGTCTGAGACAGTTCCTTAGGGGAATATACTAGGTCAGCACTGAATAATGGAAATACAATATCAGGCACATATGTAATTTTAAATTTTCTAGTAGTGACATTAAAAATGGTAAAAAAGAAAAAGGCAAAATTAAAAATAATTTAACCCAATATATAAAAATATTATCATTTCAACATGCAATCAACATAAATAATATTAATGAGATATATTGCATTTTATATTTGTTCAAAGTCTTCAAAATCTGGCTGGGCATGGTGGCTCACGCCTGTAATCCTGGCACTCTAGAAGGCCAAGGCAGGTGGATTGCTCAAGGTCAAAACCTTGGAGTTCAAAACCAGCCTGAGCAAGAGCGAGACCCCGTCTCTACTAAAAATAGAAAGAAATTAATTGGCCAACTAAAAATATATAGAAAAAATTAGCCGGCATGGTGGCACATGCCTGTAGTCTCAGCTACTTGGGAGGCTGAGGCAGAAGGATTGCCTGACCCCAGTAGTTTGAGGTTGCTGTACACCACGGCACTCTAGCCGGAGCAACAGAGGGAGACTCTGTCTCAAAAAAAAAAATTCTTCAAAATCCATATAGTGTGTATTTTACACTCATACCACATTTCAGTTTGGACCAGCCACATTTCAAGTGCTTAACAGCCACATGTGGTTAGTGGCAACCATATTGGGTAGGACAGTGCCAGGCAGTCAAAAATGATGGCTAAAAGGCACTGATGAGATTTAAGTTAAAACTGGATAATAGGAATTTGTAGCATATCTGAAGTACACAGTTCCTTTTCTTTCTGAAGCACTGATCTTTGCATTAGGAGGTAGTTGGAAGGGATTACTTAGTGTTGGTAATCAATTGGTGGCTGAAGTAGAGAGTCAAGGAATGAGTGCATTTAGCATAGTGATGGGAACACTATAAGCCTGTCAATATCTGAAGACCTGAGCAAAATGGAACAATTAGTTTCTTTAGTAGAAAAACAAAGAGCAGGTTCAATAAGAATAGGGAAGTGAATGAAATGACAACAAAAAAGGGCTTCAGTTTGATTGGGAGTGGGGGATGGTGACTCAACTCTTATCTCAAAACTGGTGTAACACTAGGTAAGACTGTGCTGGACTTTGAACAAAGGGAGTGGAGATGGAAGTCAGAGTTAGAAAAGGTCAAGAAAGAATGAGATAAAGGGATCTTCTGGTGTCTTGATGGATGTTGAAGCCATTAGATGCTGGTTTCATTTTTCCCAAGGCAGTACTGGGAACTCTCATAGCCACTGGGTGCCAGAGGTGAGAGCAGGGCCTCTGTGATGTAAGTAGGGTGGGGTTGGCGAGGTCATCCCTCATGCCTCCTGCACAGCAGTCCATAAGCTGGGACCTCATCTTCCCTTTCCCTTTTAGTCTTATTTTCTGGTTAAAACACACACATATACACACATGCGCTATTTGTAAAATTCGTGCAATATGAAAATGTAGAAAATAGAAGTCTTCAGTCATTAAATTCCCATTCCTTAAGTATTAATTAGGTCATTAAATATGAAATGTCTGATTTTGAATGAAAAGTTTATTGTATCTCAAACAAGAAGCAGTCCAATTAATCAAAGCATGCACCTAAACTATCAGCACAGTTTTGCCATCTTAACAGTAGCTTGTTTATGACAGTAGTGAAAAAGCCTGGAGAGCGAGTGGTGATGAAATTGCAAAAGGCATTTTCCACAGCTTTTTGAGAATTGAATATTTTTCCTTGCAAGAAGTGGTCCAAAGCCTGGAAGAAGTGGTAGTCAATTGGTACAAGGTCTGGTGAATATGGTGGTTGGCAGAGAGTTTCCAAGTCCAGCCTGTGTAGTTTGAGCAGTGTTGTTTGTGCAACATGTAGTTGAGCATTGTCTTGCAAAAGGATTGGGCTGTCTCTATTGACCAATCTTGGCTTAATCACAAGCATCCTCATCACTTTGTCCAAATGGTCCGCTGGGATCGGCTGACTAGGTTTCATGAAGTTGTAGTGGATAATACCAGCGCTGGACCACCAAACAGACACCATTAGCTTTCTTTGATGAATTCTCAATTTTGGCCTGTGTTTTGACATTTCATCTTTATTCAACCATTGTGCCTAACACTTGTGATTGTCAAAAAGAATCCATTTTTCATCACATATAACTATATAATGCAGAAATGGTTCACCTTTATGTTGTGACAGCAAAGAAAGTCAAGCTTCAAAATGATTTTTCTTCTGATGCTCATTTAATTCATGCAGTACCCATCTATCCAGCTCTTTACCTTGTCCATTCATTTGAAATGGTCCAATATTGTTGGAATAGTAATGTCAAACCCTGCTGCTGATTCATGCATAGATCAAGATGGATTCGCTTCCACTATAGCTTTCAGCTCATCATTATCCACTTTGGTCTCAGGTCACCCTTGTGGCTCATTTTCAAAATTAAAATCACCAGAATGGAACTCCTCAAATCATTGACATACTGTGCATTCATTAGCCACATCCTTCCCAAACGCTTTGTTGATATTTCGAGCTGTCTGCATTTCGTTGGTTCCATGATGTAACTCTTATTAAAAAATAACACAAGTTTTTGACTTATCCATGGTTTCACAAAAATTGCTCTAAAATAACTTTGAAAGATAATCACAAGCCAAAACATGCATTTGAAAGACTGAGGATGTACCTTCACACACACACACAAAAACCCAAACACAAGAAGCGTCAAGGTGAAATGTCAGAGATATCAACCGTCAAATTTAGCACTTAAGGAAATCTGCCATTCTATAATTAATAACCTATTCCCATTCCTTAAGTATTAATAATTATTGTTATCTCTTTGCCATATGTCCTTCCAGGAAATTTCCTATACATATATGAGCCTGTTTTAGAAAGGAAATTTATATTGTATATTCTACATATTATTCTACAATTGGCTCTTTTTATGTAACTATTGTCGAGATCTTTCTATGCTGCTAGGTTTTTTTTTTTTTCTTTTTTTAGACAGAGTCTTGCTAGGTCATCCTGAATAGAGTGCAGTGGCATCATCATAGGTCACTGTAACCTCAAACTCCTGGGCTTAAGAGATCCTCCTGCCTCAACCTCCCGAGTAGCTGGGACTATAGGCACGAGCCATCGCACATGGCTAATTTTTCTATTTTTAGTAGAGACAGACTCTCTATTGCTCAGTCTGGTCTTGAACCCCTGAGCTCAAGTAGTCCTCCCACCATGGCCTCCCAGAGTGCTGGGATTAGCAGGCGTGAGCCACTGTGCCAGGCCCATGCTGCTAGGTTTGACATCATTCTTTTTATAGGCTACAAAGTATTTTCTTATATTGTTTCCCCATAAATTATTTAAACAGTCAGCTATTAATATGTATGTAGAATGCGTCCATGTTTTTGCTAGTATAGTCAGTGCTGCAATAATCATTCTTGCTCATATTTCTTTATGTGCTTGTGAAAACTTTCTGTAGAAAATTCCTAAAGATAGAGTTGTTGAGTCAGAGGGGAGGCATGTTTAAGTTTTTGATAAATCTTGCCATATTGCCTTTTAGATGGGTTGTTATACTTTACATTCCCATCTGTGGAGTGTGAATGGTTGGGATCCCACACACTTGGTCCATCCCTGACATTATCAACCTTTAAAGTCTTTTCTAGTCTGATAGGAGAGTAATGATACCTCACAGGGATTCAGTTCTCTGATTGTATGTGAAGCTGACCATATCGTCAAATGTCTATTTACCATTTGCATTTCTTCTGTAAATTGCCTGTTCATATCCTAGCTGGATTTTCTATTTGCTATTTTGTCTCTGTATTGATTTGAAGTATTGATTTGAAGGAGCACTTCTTATTATACAGGGTGTCCTAAAAGTCACCATACATAGGGGAAAGGGAAAATTGTAGCTAAATGTACCTTTATTTACAAAACATTCATTACAAAATTTTACAGAATTTTTCCTTTATATAGAGACTTTTGGGACACCCTGTATAGATAGTCAAATTTTGTCAAATATCTTTTATCAGTTTATCCTTTGACTTTCAAGGATAAAATTTTTAAATTTAGGAAATAAAATCTTTCAATCTTTTTTTTTCTGACTTTGGTCTTATTCAAAGATGGGTTCTCTGTGCTCACTTCTGCAGCACATATACTAAAAGATGGGTTCTCTGTGCTAAGATTATACAAACATTCTCCTATATTTAATTTAATGTTTTTATGATTATGGTTTTTGAATATTTAAATGTTTGGCCATATGGAATGTATTTTTATATATGGCATGAAGTACAATGGAATCTTTAAGTATAGAATTTAAATACTAGAAATAACTTCAATTTCTTTGCCTTTTTTCCATCACAGGGAAGCACTTGGAGAATATTTAGATGGGAAGAAGGAGAGTGAGGAAGATCAAAGCAAGAGCTACAAACAGAAAGAAGAAAGCAGATTGGTATGAACTGGTTGGCAGATGGGCCCTGTTCGCCCTGGAAGACTAGAGAGCTGGGTGTGATACCATGCTTTCCATATTTAGCTAGGAAGAAAGCAGGTACTCCATGTGGCTGTCTAGGCAGAACTGAATTGGAATCTTTCCCATTTGAGAGCTCTCTAGGAGCAAGCTTTCAGATTATACTTTATTGTATTTAGGTTGTTTCTTCTCTGCTCATGCATTGTAGCTGGTTATTCACTATTCATATGATAAAGTCCAGATGTTGTAGCCTGGACATTCAAGGCCTTTGGTAGTCTGTTCCCATCTTACCTTTCCAAATTTATCTCCCATCGTTACCTAATCTGGGCCTTCCACTCTGGAGAGGCTGATCCACGCATTCACTTCCAAGGGCCTTGTTCATCCCTGTTCCATGGCTTTGGTCATCTGGAATACAAGGCCTCTCCATTCTCCCCTTCTTCCCTCCTCTCCACTCCTTTTATTTTCTTTTCTCCTCTCCTCTCATCAGGCTACCTTCCCATTGTTTAATACCATCTCAAGTCCCAACTCTTCCTTGGACGCTTCCTCAACCCAGCCTGAACTCCTTCAATCCACACATTGAATACTTCTTGTCTGTGCCATTCATTTCATTTGTGATAAGTTTTCTGCCTTGCATGACTTTTCAAATGTGTGTGCATGCAGTGTGCCCAACGAAATTGTAAGTTCTTTGAGAGTAAGAGCCTCTTTTCATAGCCGTGGAGTAGTGCGTAGTTTGTATTCAATAAACATTAAGAAGAAAAGCATCAATTGCTCTCCTGTGGCAGTGACAGGGCTCCCGGGATGCTTAATAAAGGACTTGAAACAAGGGGTGCAGGAGGGATAAATAGCAGTTCAGAACAGCAAAACAGAACTGGCAAATGCTACATTTAATCAATGCTAAGTAAAAGGCTCTTAGATAATGTTACTGTGTAAATTGAGATATGGAAAAGAGCTCACCACACTGGCCTGGTTAGGGAAGGTTATATGGAGAAAGTGGGATTTGAGCAGTCTTAGAAAAATAGATGGAGAGCAGAGATCATTTCTGGCAGAAATAAGTATATTTACTGAGAGAAAAAAATTCAAGTTACTGAATATGATTATAGAGATACAGAGAGGTCATTGAATAACTTTTACTGTGTTAGGGATAAGGTATTTTACTATAGTGGGAAGAATATCGGACTGATATGGGCTCTTGTTCCATATCTTTTGCCTACTGCAAAATAGATGATTCATGTCACCTCTTTGTACTTAGCTTTCATTTAAAAGTCAGTGATCTCTGGGTATTCCTGGGTAGGATAAAAGGATATTAGAGTCTTGAAAATACCAATATACAGTTCATCATGAGAATTCTTTAATTGAGTGTAAAACCAGAGAAATAATGTTTTTTTCATTAGCAGGTTTTCAAGGTTCCTTTCACTTAGGAGTTAAGTAGTGAAGAGCCTTGGCATTAAGGGAAAATGTACACAAAAACTGCTGCTTTCCTCAAGATCAAGGTGGTATTGATGACCAACCTAAGGCCTGAGAAGGCTGGGCCCTACCCTTGACCTTGTACTTTATCAAGCATTTTAAAAATGTTATTCTTTTTTGGTCCTGTTTAATGTTTGTCTACTCCAAGTTTATGAAGCTATTCTTCTATGTTTTCCTCTAGAAGCTTTATTGTTCTACCATTTATATTTTTGTATATATCTATCTGGAATTGATTTTTGTGTATAGTCTAAGGGGAGGGCTCAAAGTTCAGTTTTCTATATTGATTTTTTGTTGTTTAGTTCAGTGGCCGATCATAGCTTGCTGTAGTCTTGAACTCCTGGGCTCAAGTTATGCTCCTGCCTCAGCCTCCTGAGTAGCTGGGACCACAGGCTCTCGCCACTGTACCTGGCTAATAATGCCTTTTAAGGCCCTCTGAGGATATTAATTAGAGTCTCTCTCTTTCTTTCTTTTCTTCCTTCCTTTCTTCCCTCCTTCCCTCACTCCCTCCCTCTTTCCTTCTTTTTTTCTTTCTTTTTCATTTTCTTTTTCTTTCTTTTTTAAAGACAAGGTCTCATTTTGGCCCTCAGGCTGGAATGTGGTGGCATGATCATAGCTCCCTATAACTTTGAACTGGGCTCAAGTGATCCTCCTGTCTCAGCCTCCCAAGTAGCTGGGACTACAGGTGTGTGCTACATACCTGGCTAATTTTTAAATTTTTTTTGCAGAGACAGGATGTTGCTTTCTTGCCCAGGCTGATCTTTTTTTTTTTTTTTTTTAGAGTGAGTGCCATGGCGTTAGCCTATCTCACAGCAACCTCAAACTCCTGGGCTCAAGCAATCCTTCTGCCTCAACCTCCCAAGTGGCTGGGACTGCAGGCATGCGCCACCATGCCCAGCTAATTTTTTCTATATATATTAGTTGGCCAATTAATTTCTTTCTATTTATAGTAGAGACGGGGTCTTGCTCTTGCTCAGGCTGGTTTCAAACTCCTGACCTTGAGCAATCTGCCCGCCTCGGCCTCCCAGAGTGCTAGGATTATAGGCGTGAGCCACCGCTCCCAGCCGCCCAGGCTGGTCTTAAACTCCCAGCCTCAAGTGATCCTCTTGTCTTGGCCTCCCAAAGTGTTGGGATTATAGGCATAAGCCACCATGCCCAACTAATTGTAGAGATGGGGTCTCTTGCTATGATGCCCAGACTGGTCTCCAACTTCTAGCTTCTAGCAATCCTCCTGCCTCAGCCTCCTGAGTCACTAGGATTACAGGCCTGCCGGATCTACATAGATTTTTAATTGACCCAGCAATTGAAAAGATCATCCTTTCCCCACTGCATTGTAGTTCACCTTTGTTGTGAATCAGGTGTTCAGATATGTGTGATTTTGCCTCTAGATTATTCTGTTCCATTGATATTTATTTGCCAATTCCACATTGTTTTAATCACTGTAGCTTTATGAGAGGTCTTTCTTTTCTTTTATAGTATGAGCTATTATTTATTTTATTCATTTCAGATTATTATGGGGGTACAAAGGTTTAGGTTACATATATTGCCTTCGCACTGCCCGAATCAGAGCTACACACGTGCCCATCCCCCAGACAGTGTGCACCGCACCCATTAGGTGTGAATATATCCATCCCCTCGTCCCCCCTCCCACCTGCCTGACACCCGATGATTGTTATGACAGGTCTTGATATCCATGAGTATAAAATATCCATCTATTTATTTAGATATTCTTTAATTTTGCTCAATAATGTTTTTGTTCTTTTTGTTGAGGTTATAATCATTCATTGATGGTATACAATAGAATAGTTGGTTTTTATATATTTACCTGGTACCAAGTGACCTTGCCAAATTCACTTGTTAATTCTAATAGTTACCTGTAATTTCTTTTGGACTTTTTAAAAACTTAACACATATATAATCATATCATCTCAAAATAATGACAGTTTTATTTCTTCCTGTTCAATTTTTATATTTTTTGTTTCTTTTTCTTCCCTTATTGTGTTAGATAGGTCCTACAGCCCATGGATTATAAATCCAATCAATTAAAATCCCAGCACACTTTTTGGATAGAACTTGACAATTGAGCCTAAAATTATTTATTTATTTTTCATTTTCTTACATTTATTGGTTTATTATAAAGGACATCACAAAGGATAGAGATGAAGACCTGTGTAGGGTGAGGTATGGGGGAAGGGGCTCAGAGCTGCCATGCCCTCTCAGGTGTGCCACCCTCCAGGAACCTCCACGAGTTCAGCGCTGATTCTAAAATTTGTATGGAAATGTGAAGGGTCAAAAACAGTGAAGACAATCTGGGAGAAGAACACAGTTGGAGGACTTACCCTACTAGATATTAAGACCTGTCATACACAAATCTACAGCAATTAAAACAATGTTGAATAGAAGTGGTGACAGTGGGGGTCAGTGTCTTGCTCTAGCCCACCTGTGGATGCAACCCCTCAATTGGACTTTCCCCAAGTCCACTCTGAGCCCCAGTTCCCCTTTAGAGCACCAAGTCCCATGGAACCCAAAATTACTCAAATTGTTCTGAACCCACCTTCAAGGCCAGCCTGGGCCTCTTCCCAGGATCTATCCTGCTCAGGGCAGATGATGCCACTGTTATGCAACTCGTGTGCCCGATGATGGCCATGGGGTGTAAATGGAGCTTGGATGTGCAGTCTGGGATATCCACATGCTTGAAGGACAGAGCTGGGGGTGGACTGAGGAATGAGGCCAAGGCTGGCTCTCCCTTAAGCACCTAGTTATGAGTAGAACACCTAGTCTGAATTCAAACTAGGACTTCTGAATTTTTATGAAGATATTGAAGTAGGAGGATAGAATATGCTTTATTTAACAGTTTCTACATGGTATCACAATTTTTAAATATTTATATATATATGCTATGTAGACCTCGATTTAAACTCTTTTCCTGGAGCTTATAAATGTTAGAGGTATGTCTGTTGGTCTGTTTCTTACTGTAACATTTGGAGTTTTAATTTTTCTTTGAGTCTTAAATACTTGCTTTAGAAATTTCTGATGTTCACATTGAATAGAAAATAGAAAATTGCTCAAAACTGCAGGAAAACCATTACTTTCTTATAGACGTAAAACCATCTGGTACAAGCGATAAAGCTTTAGGCCTTAAAAAAATCTAGAGGATATCTGGGTTAAGGCTCTATTCTGATTTCATTGGAGCTACGTTTCAACATTTCCAGAGAATAGTGTAGTGAAGTGGAGTCTCTGGTCATTTTTGGTGATTTCTTTGTCTAGAAGTTTTATAGGTTCTTACTTCAGACATGATTTGAGAGTTTGTAAGTTCCAAAACAGAGTTGGAAAAACTTAGGCAAAACCTAAGGATACTTGAACTTTTTGTTGAGAGGATTTAGCATCTTGAAATCACAACATTACAACAAGGCTAGAAGTGAAGATACTGAATGTGGAATTCACAAGAGAGATTTAGCAGGGTGACACCAATAGCAAAATCCCTGAGCCCATTAAGGTGGAGGGCAGTGCAACCAGCTATAAATTTTTCCTGTATTAGAATCTATGTAACCAAAGAGTCCACATATCATTAGCTGCAACAGGTAGAAACTTCTTTCTCTGCTTCTTTTAATAGTTCAAAGCATAAACAGTCGAGGGCTGATACGGGGGCTGTTTGACACTGGGACCTCACCTCCTCCTGCCATTGCTCAGGTTGCCTTCATCTGCCCATCACCTCATGCTTTAGCCCCACATTCCAGCCTGGGAGAAGGGGCAGAAGGTGGACGGCAGAGGGGATACACCTTTTCCTTTAAAGACACACCTCAAAGTGGCACACACCTCAAAGTGGCACACATCACTTCTATTCATGTGGCATTGATCAGACCATATTATAGCTGCAAGGTAGTCTGGGAAATAGGCCCATTTGGGGAGGTTACGTGCACAGCAAAAATTTGAGTGTTCTATTACAAAAAGTAGAAGGGGAAATGAACATTGGAGGACAACTGTCATTATCTGTCTCACCTCCCCAACTGAGATTTTTAGAAGGGACCCTGGCAGTGTCAGTCACTTAGGGATCTGCTGGGGAAAGGGCTGGGATGTACCTGCCAGGGTACTGGTTGGCTGAGCCCTGCTGTAAAGAAAATAAAGTGCAGTGAGAATTGCAGAGTGCTTTTAAATCATAAGCTATAATATGACATCACAAGTGGCTTGATAGAAAAGGGTTGCTAAATAGATTCTACTCTTAAAAGTCTTGAAGTAGTGTTTGGATGTTTGAATTTTAGATACCTGCTTGAATGGCTAGAAGGCTAGACAGTTTAGACAATTGAGCAAAATGTTTCTAACTTTATAAATTCTTTACAAAGTGTTCTAACTTTAAATATTCTTATTTTTTGGGTTTTAGAAATTGGCTAAACTTCTGCTCTGTGGTACTGAGTTGGTGACAAATATCCAGGTTGCTACAGATATCAGAGAGACCCACAGGAGAGCGGAGGAGGAGGAGATAAAGCGTCAGAGGTAAGGAGCGCACTGCTCTGCAAGCTGGTGGGCGGGAAGGTAATCCTCTCCATGGGTCCCTAAATTCTCCCAAATCATTGCAAAGTGACTTTGTCCAGCTTAACTAGTAGAATCTCCTTTCCTGCCTTTATGAATCCTCGCTCATCTCTCCTTCTTTCCTTTCCTCCCTTCCCCCTCCTTCCCTTCTTCCTCTCTTCCTCAAGCATTGCATTGCCGGCACGTGCAAGCCGTGTGGGTACAGAAGGAGTGAGAGGCCTCTGCTTGTAATATTCATAGTCTGGTCGAGATAGATATGGAAACACCCAACCATAATTTGTGGTAAAATAAACGTATGTGTAAAGAATTGTAGAAACACACGAGGAGGCCATTAATTCTGTTTGCAGAGATTGGAGGAAACTTCCTAGGCAGGATGACATTTGAGTTGGGCTGTAAGGGATGAGTAGGAGTTTGAGGAGTTGAGAAGTGGGCATTTTAGGCAGAGGGAGCACTTGCGAGAGGCACGAGAGCACGTGATACTCTTGGGACTGGCACGACAGTGAAGGATGTATGCGGGCGGTGGTGGAAGAAGAGATGAAGCTGAGAAGGTGAATGGGCAGTCCTGATTTTAACCTGGGTTTAACCTGATCAGCATGCGCAGACCCACAAACATCTCAGTGTTATGTGTACAGATAGCAGTGTATTAAAAAAATATTAAAGGTCCCATGCCTAGAAGGATGGAGGGTCAGAAGGATGACAGGAACCCATGTGACACCCTCAGCTCCAGTCCTCAGCAGGCAGGCTGCCTTGCACTCCCATTTCCCGGGTCCCAGGTTCCCCAATGGGAAGCATGAGCCACTAAGGATTGGATTTCTTCAGTTTGCACACAGAAATGGACTAACAGCAGGAACAGAGGCTTTCATTTAAACCTCTACTTTGCATTTTTCTTCAATTCATTTCTTAAACAGAGTTCAGTTAGACGAGCAACCACTTGACCATTTTAGCTCATCTCACCATATACATCCACAGGACAATCAACACTGTTTTTAGTCGTTGCACTTAAGGCATTCCCTCATTAGCAACTTTGCCAGCTCTACCAGTATATAATCGGTGACTTTATTCTTGAAACTTCCCACTGCTTGGTTGTACCAGGAACTGAGTTGGTTGGTTCCTGGCAGGGTCAGCTTGTGAAAGGCCTTGAATGTCATGAGAAGGAGTTAGGCTTCATCCTACAGCCTCCGACGAAAAGATTGAAGGTCTCAAGTGGCAGAATTACAAGATAAATGTGTTTTGGAAAGATGACCTGACAGCTGTTTCTCATTTCTTGCCATAAAAAAGTCAATTAGATTATTATGTGTACCATGTGCCTAAGCTAGGTGGGATGCGCAGTGGGAAAGGGAAACAGAGGGTCCCAGGGCGTTTAAGTTGTGACTCCTGTCCCTAAGGGCGTCTGCGTTGTTGTTTGGAAACATGGTCATAGAACTCCAGACTGTTAAAATCAGGAGAGAGTTTCTGGCAATATCCTAGCACTGTTGTCTAGGGGCTTTCAGCTCAGCTCTGAGGCTTCAGTCTTACCCCATTCCTCTGTCACAGCGGTTCTTTGGAATTTATAGGAAGGCTATCCTATTTCCATTACCAGTAGTGGCGTTTCTCTCTCTGTGCATTCCACTAGTCATTTATTGGTGACTTGGGAGAGGAGGAGCCAGACAACTGAGGTCATGCTGCTAATAAAAAATTAATAGTTTAAGTACCATTAAGTAACTACCATGCCACCACCTGTGCTGGGCGTCATCTGATTTCATCCTGACAACAGCCATACACAGAAGGAGACATTTTCATCCTCTCCATTCTACAGATGAGAAAAATGAGGCTTGCAGAGCTTAAGCAACTTGTCTAAGGTTGAGATTCAGTTAGTAGCAAAGCAGGACTTGCACACAAGCTGTGTGACTCCTCTGACCAAGTGTTTAATGATTGTGTCATTATCTTACTCAGAAGTATATGATCAATGGACTCTTTTTTTTTTCCTTTTTGGTTTAAAAACAATATACACTTATTATCTTAAAAGTAAAGAGATAAGAAGTCCAAAATCAGTCTCTGTGGGCTAAAATCAAGGTGGGTGAGAGTGTTACATTCCTCCTGAAGGCTTTAGCAGAATCTATTCTTTGACTCTTCTGGCTTTTAGAAGCTGCCTACGTTCCTTGGCTCATGACTCCTTCCTTCATCACTAGAGCTACCAGCATAGCATCTCCCAAGCTCGCTCTCTCTCTGCTTCTGTTATCACATCTCTTCTGCTTCTGACACTGCTGCTTCCCTTCTGTAAGGGCCCTTGTGGTTACATTGGGCACACCAGGATAATCCAGCATAGTCTCTCCCCAGTGGACTCTTTCTTGATCCGTGTGTTTGTGTGTATAGTCTTAATGTTGATCCATTTTTGTGATGTGTCACTTTGTTTACCTGGTCTAAGTTACTTCTAGTCAAGCATTAAACTGAAATATTTCTCAGTATTTAGTTTGGCTTGGGGTAGGTGTGCCCGAGGGAAGTGCCAGGTGCGCCGGCCCTGTATTGTAGACTCTCTTGGAAGGGGGCATCCGGAGCGGGGCTGGCAGGGCTGGCGTGGCTGGCATGTTTGTATGTTTGTGTTTGCAGAGTCGAGAAGCTGGAAAACGAAGTTAAGACCAGCCAGGACAAATTCGACGAAATCACCTCAAAGTGGGAAGAGGGCAAACAGAAGAGGATTCCCCAGGAGCTGTGGGAGATGCTCAACACGCAGCAGCTGCACTGTGCCGGTCTGATCGAGGATAAGAACAAGCTTATCAGCGAGCTGCAGCAGGCAAGAGACCCCGCCCCATCCTGGCCAGCGGGGGTCTGGCTGGGGGATTTATGGGTTACTGTTTTGCTTCTCCTGAATGAAAAAATGTGGAGGCCTTTACTTCGTTACTTAGCATGTTGCATAACTTGAATGATAAACCTTTTTTTCTTTAATTTTTATATCATGGTAAAAACCACATAATGTTAAATTTACTATCTTAACCACTTTTACATGTGTAGTTCAGTAATGTGAACTCTATATTATAGTAGCCACATTGTTGTGCAGTGGATCTCTGGAACTTTTTCATCTTGCAACACTGAGTTTCTCTTTGTCTGATTTTGACTACTTTAGATACTTCATGTGAGTGGGATCACACAGTATTTGTCCTTTTGTGATTGGCTTATTTTACTTGGCATAATGTCCTTGAGGTTCATCCATGTTGTAGCATGTCACAGGATTTCCTTCTTTTTTAAGGTTGAATATCCCATTGTACGTATATATCACATTCTCTTTACTCATTCTTCTGTGGATGAACATTTGGGTTGCTGTCATCTTTGGCTATTGTGAATAACGCTGCTGTGAACATGGGCATACATATCTCTTTGAGATCCTGCTTTGAATTCCTTTGGATATATACCTAAGAGTGAGATTGCTGGATCATATGGCAATTTTAATTTTTTCTACTATTAATTTTTTTAGGAACCTCCATACTGTTTTCCATGATGGCTGCACCATTTTATATTCCCACCAACAATACACAAGGGTTCTAACTTCTCTACATTCTTGCCAACACTTATTAGATCCTTTTCTTTTGATAGTGGCTATAGTTATGGGTGTGAGGTGATATCTCATTGTGGTTTTGATTTGCATTTCCCTAATGATTAGAGATGTTGAGCATCTTTTTCATATGTTTATTGGCCATTTTGTATATCTTCTTTGGAGAAATGTCTATTTAAATCCTTTGCCCATTTTTAATTGGGTTGTTTGTTTTTTTTGTTGCCAAGCTGTAGAAATTCTTTATATATTCTAGATATTAACCCCTTATCAAATATATGATTAAGCCTGGGCACTGAGGCTTACTTCTGTAATTTTGGCACTATGGGAGGCCGAGGCAGAAGGATTTCTTGAGCTCAGGAGTTGGAGACCAGCCTGAGCAAGAGTGAGGCCCTGTCTCTACTAAAAATGCAAAAAGTAGCCAGGCATTGTGGCCTGCACCTGTAGTCCCAGCTACTCAGGAGGCTGAGGCAGGAGGATCGCTTGAGCCCAGGAGTTTGAGGTTGCAGTGAGCTGTAATGACGCCACTGCACTCTACCCAGGGCAACAGAGCAAGTCTCTGTCTCAAAAAAAAAAAAAAAAAATATATATATATATATAATTTCAATTATGTTTTCCTATTCTGTATGCTGCCATTTTACTCTGTTGATTGTTTCTTTCGATGTGCAAAAATTTTTGAGTTTGGTGCAGTCCCATTCATCTTTTTTTTATTTTGTTGCCTGTGGTTTTGGTGTCATGCCCAAGAAATCATTGCCAAACCCAATGTCCTGAAGCTTTTCCCCTACGTTTTCTTCTAGGAGTTTAATAGTTTTAAGCCCTAAATTTAGGTCTTTAATCCATTTTGAGTTAATTTTTGTGTGTGCTGTAGGGTAAGGGTCCAATTTTATTCTTTCACATGTGAATATCCAGTTTTCTCAATAACATCTGTTGAAGAGATTGTCCTTTCTCTGTTGTTTAGTTGTGTTGAAAATTATTTGGCTGTAGATACAGGGGTTTATTTCTGGGCTCTCTATTCTGTTCCACTGGTCTGCATATTTACCTTCATGTCAGTGGTACACTATCCTTATTCCTGTTGCTTTGTAGTATGTTTTGAAATCAGGTAATGTAAGGCCTCCAACTTTGTTCTTCTTTTTCAAGCCTGTTTTGGCTATTTGGGGTCCCTTTGAGATTCCATACAACTTTCTTTTTTTTTTTTATTTTTATTTTTATTTATTTTTTTTTTTGGAGTTGCCAAGACAGATGAATATACAACTTTCTGGTTTTTCTGTTTCTGCAAAAAATGATGTTGGGATTTTGATAAGGATTGCACTGAATCTGTAGATCACTTTGGATAGTCTGGACATTTGAACAATATTGAGTTATCCAATCCATGATCACAGGATGTCTTTCCATTTCTTTTGTGTGTTATTTGCTTCCTTTTAGCAATGTTTTGTACTTTTCAGTGTCCAAGTCTTTTGCTTGCTTGGTTAAATTTATCCCCAAGTATTTCATTCTTTTTGATGATATAGTAAATGGAATTATTTTCTTAATTTCCTTTTTGGATGGGTCATTACTAGTATATAGGAATGCACCTGATTTCTGAATGTTGATTTTGTGTCCTGCAACTTTTTTTAAAATCAAGAATGTAGTTTATTATATCTCAAACAAGAAATAGTACAATTAATCAAAGTATGCACCTAACCTATTATGTGTTCTGCAACTTTGCTGACTTTGTTAGTAAGTTCTAATAGGTTTTTTTATTTGTATAGAATCTTTAGTTTTTCTGCATATAATAAGATCATGTTATCTGTGAACAGAGATAATTTTCACTCTTCTTTTCCAAATTGAATGTTTTTTCAAGTGATAAACTTTTGAGCAGAAGAAAAAGCCTTGTAATAATTTTAGAATTATTGGCTACCTAATAGAACTATGGTCATGCATTGCTTAATGACAGAGATAAACTCTGAGAAATGCATCATTAGGCAATTTCATTGTCGTGTGAACATCAGAGTGCACTTACACAAACCTAGATGGTATAGCTTACTACACACCTGGGCTATAATAGCATATTGTTCCTTGGCTACAAACCTGTGCAGCAAGTGACTGTACTGAATTCTGTAGGCAATTGTAACACAATGGTATTTGTGTATCTAAACATAGAAAAAGGTACAGTAAAAATATGATATTGTAATCCTATGGGAACACTGAGAATCACATACATGGTTCATTGTGGTTGAAATGCAGTGCATGATTGCATGTATTTTTACAGCGAATGCTGTTCCAGATTTTATGTTCTTAATTAAGGAATGGACCTTAGTCTGCGGTAGATATGTTCCTGTGCTGGAACCTGGACATTAATTGCTCAGCTGGGATGCTCTAGGCTTCTTGGGAGCTTGCAGAGAGATTTGCAGCTAGTGATAATTGAAAAGTTTGATCCTGGGTGCTCGGTCAGAGCTTTGCCTTGAGCCAAGCTTATTCTACTCCATCTACTTGTGCTTTCCCCTGGGTCTTCTCAGACTCTTCTGAAGTCACTTTCTCTTCGTATAGTTTTAAATCCTCATGTTTGCAGATTCTGGTGAATGGGGTGCAGGGACAGTGTGCTAGGCACCTCTTGCTTCTGTTTCAGTTGGGACTAACATTTTTACATGCTCTTTTCTAGGAATTAAAATCAAAGGATGATCAGTATGTGAAGGATTTGAAGAAACAGTCAGATGACATCTGCCTGCTTCTTGAGAGGATGGAAGAACAAGTGAAGCATGTAATGAAAAACTTTCGCCAGGAGCTCCAACTCATTGAGGTAATGGGGTATGAAAAGACCTGCTTTCAGCACTTGGGAGGCCCCTGGGGGGAGGTCTGGGTCTGTCCTGATCATCTAAGGAGGGTTATGGGTGTCTCTGTCCTCTAATTTCTGATTCTGCTCTAGGGTTTCATTAATTTATTTACTCAGTCAGTCAGTCAGTCAGTCATTCAACAAACATTCCTCAAGTGCCTACTATATGGCAGGCACTGTTCCAGGGACTGGAGATATAGCCTCGAACAAAACAAAGTTCCCGATGGAGCCTGCATTCTAGTAGGAAACAGCTTGACAATAAACAAATAAATTACTCAATATATAATTTGACAGGTGGTAATAAATGCTTTGAAATAAGACAGGCAAGAGGATGAGGAGTAAAGAGGGAGGTTAGTTCTTCATAACCATAGGGTGTATGTGAGCCATTCATTTGTTCCTTCTTAGCATCTGGGGGTGGGCGATGGTGAAGGGAAGTGCCAAACAGGATTCAGACAGCAGTACTTTGAATTTGAACGAAATGTTAAAGATTGAGACTGATTTAGTCTTTTCAAGATGGAAGAGAGCCAGGAGGGTAGGGGCCTCTCTCTGTGGATCTTTGGAGACTCATTTCTGCATTTCTAGGCCTACCCCTTGCAAGCTGCATGCTGCCTTTGCTTCATGGCCCCCCCAGCCATGGCAATGCTTAGTCATGATTGCCTAGTCATGATTGAATGACATGTAGGATTTGCCCTGTGACTGCCAGCAAGGGCCCTGGCCTCCCTCTAGCTCCCTGCCTCTTCTGTTGACTAAGCCACAGGGCTGTTGGTGCGTTACCTCTCTGCATTTGTGTGAAATATAGACTTCGTAATTTCCGTGCAACTCCTTCTATAGCCATTTGGTCACATGAAACTTGGCAAGTCTGTATTTAGATTTGACTTTGTGTGGTTGGTGACTTGGCGCTTGTGCAGTTATCTAAAAGCTCTTTGGTACTGGTGGAACCTGCCCAATCGAAACAGACACAGGAACCTTTTTCCTTCTTGGCTGTAGAAAGCATTTGAGGTGGAACGACAAGAGCTACTGACCAGTAATAAGAAGAAATGGGAGCGGGCGCTGCAGGCTCACAATTCCAAAGAGGTAAAAAGGGTGGCAGACGAGTGCGAAGGTGTCAAGGGTGATTGGTTTGGTCTGGGGTGGTTTCTACCGTGACTGAATTTTCTGGCCTTTTCGTGTCTTGAGTAGCATCGCTGTGGCACACATTCATTACTGCACCTCGTAGCTGATCAGCGTGGCCTTACAGATGGGCTTGTCTCTCTGGTGGTGAGGAGTACCACCTAGGCAGCTTGCTGTGGCTTCCATGGCCCTGTCACTCTCCTTTGTTTCCTGGGAATCTACCCCAGCGGTGAATATTTATGGCCCAAGGGGTTTTATGACACACTCTAAAAAGGTGTGGAATTATCACTTTATTTTGGAGACATAAAGAACAAAGAAGTGATCCAGTGAATGTTTTAGAAATATAAACATCTGATTTCAGGGTCTGTGCTTCACTATTTTTTCTTTTCTTTCTTTTTTTTAGACAGAGTCTCACTTTGTTGCCCAGGCTAAAGTGCAGTGATGTCATCATAGCTCAGTGCAGCCTCAAACTTCTGGGCTCAAGATATATCCTCTTGCCTCAGCCTCTCAATTAGCTGGGACTATAGGCACATGCCACCACACCTGGCTAATTTTTTCTATTTTTTGTAGAGACAGGGTCTCACTCTTGTTCAGGGTGGTTTTGAACTTCTGGCCTCAAGCCATCCTCCCACCTTGACCTCCCAGAGTACTAGGATTATAGGCATGAGCCACTGTACCCTGTTATGTGCTTACTTTCTTAATGGAGCAGTCCTCTTAGAATTTCTGGAGTAAGTACTCCATTAAGCAATACAAGCCATGACCCAAGAGTTCAAAGCCATGGGACTTCTGGACTTCTGAAAGCCACCAGACTCCCTCCAGAATCATAAAACTTCCAAACCGTCCAGTGTCACACTTATCAGGCCATCTGAAGTATTGAGTTGGGGCGGGGATGATCCCTAACTTTTCCCTTATCTTCCTGCACCTTCAGCTGGAGTATCTCATGAACCGCATTAAGAAAGTAGAAGACTACGAGAAGGAGCTGAACAAGCAGAGGATCTGGGATTGTGAAGAGTATAACATGATCAAGATCAAGCTGGAGCAGGATGTGCAGGTGCAAGCATTTTTCCTCACTAGGGTGTCTGGGTGGCAAAGCAGATGGTGAACATCTGTGAATGTTTCATCTTTTGAGACTACTCATAGTGTTCTAGCCTAGGATTAACAAATATTCAATAAACATTAATTATCTGCTTTCTTTTAAATGATCATATCTAAGGGAGAATATTCACGTACAGGATATATGCGGGGGAATGCTTTCTTTATGAAACCAGTGGAGGAGGACTGCCAAGATGCTACAGGGGTCTGGAAACCATGGCTTGTGAAGTGTTGAGAGAATTATGCACTTTAGCCTGGTGAAGGGAAAGTGTTCCTAGGGCAAGGCAGCTGTGTCAGAGGGCACAAGCTAGGACTACTACTGCTAATAACAGCAACCATCTGATGAGTGTCTACCATATTCCAGGAACTTAGCAAAACAGTATCTCTAATGCTTACAGTAACATGAAAGGGAGAAATCACCAACAGCATTTTATACATCGGGAAACTGAAGCTCAGAGTCAAGGCTGCATATGTAGTTTGTGGTAAACCCTGGAGTTAAACCCAGGCCGTCTGGATCTAAAGCCTGTATCCTTCCCTTATTCCAATCAGTCCCTGACTGATGCTTGGAAAGTACAGTAAGACAGGTCCCAACCCACCACCAGAAAGAACCTGCTTCCAGCTAGAACTATCCACTATATATTAAACAGGCGTTCCCCAAAACAAAGGGTCCTTTATCTCAGAGTATGCAAAGCCTGAATGGCTGTGTCTCTCTGGAAGGGTTTCTGCAGTCGTAGGGGGAGACTCTCTGCTTTCTAGAGTTCTGTCTAAGCCTAGGATTCTGTGTTTCAACACCAGTTTTAAAAAAAAAATGCATCTCAAATTACATTTAGATATAATGTGATTACATCTTAAGATTCAAGCATAGTCTATTCATTTCAGTCTCTGTGTAGAAAAACATGTTAGATAAAACTTTTCCACATAGCCTTTGGTAGAATTTGAGTTTTCATTCTGCCTGTAACTTTAGATCACGAGAATAAATTAAAAACTCCATTAGATTAAAAACGTCTTTACCAGTCTTGAGAATTTCCCCCGGTTCTTTTCATATTAATGTCATGGAAATGAGACTTACTGACTTATAGACTCATGCAAGTCTATAAGAGAGCGGCACTACTTCTGTGGGCTTTGATTTTCCTGAAAATGGCTACTGTTAAGCTTTCTGAATCATGCGGAAAAAAACAACGTACTTTTGGACTTAAACAGTGAGATATATGGAATTTCATATTCTTAGTCCGATGTTCAAATACTTGAATAAAGCCGACAATTCTGGGACGTGGGGAGATGATGGGGTAGGGGTGGGAGGTAGGGGGCCAAGAGAAAGAGAGGGGACCTGGGAGACATGGCTCTCCTGGCTGTCCCTGTCCAGAGGGACACGTCCATACGGTGGCGTGTGTGGATATGAGAGGCTGGCAAATGGGGGCATTCAGGTGGAAAGGGGGTGCACCTCCTTTGCATTCACAATTCTTTCCCATGCTCTCAGATGGAAACTGAGAGTACCTGTACCACTTTCCACACTTTAACTGGAAAAAAAATCATTGAATCAGGGACTACTCATATTGCAACATGTGGAATATTTTAGGAGATTGAACTTTATTATAGTTCAATATATATCATATCATGCTTTCATTAGACATTCAAGTCCAATGGCATTGACTTGTGTCAAGAAGATAGGGCATATAGCTCAACATTAAATTTGCTGTTCCTAACTAATCCATAGCACTCTATCAGTTCTAAAATATGGAACTAAAATTCTTGTAAACCACAAAAATATAATAGGAAGGATCCAGTGCACACAGATTTGGTTTGGTGGGTAAAGTACAAGAAGTAAAAAATAGAATGTCGACTGTTCAAGTGCTTCCGCCAGTAAAAGTCACATTATTAATGACTGGAGCAAAGGGAAGGCTGAAAACATGTGATTGAGTAGGATTTCACCACCCCAAAATAAAACTGCTGGAAACATTTACTTCCTAATGCAAAAAGCAAATGGTTTTATTTTTAAGCCTTAAATGTTCATTGAAAATTATAACATGGTTCAGTTCAAATTTAGGGGCTGTTATCTTTAGTACCAAAATATTAATAATAAAAAATTAAAGCAGAGTTGTGCAGTGGAAGTGTGCTGGGCCCATAAAAAATTATATAAGTTAATTTACTTAATAAATTTGTTAACCTGCATAGTGCAAAGCACAGAGATTACAGTCCCTACCCTCAAGGATCTTATAATCTGTTGAGCTTGAGGGTTAGGGCAGAAGTATGGAAAAGAGTCTTATGGCTCAATGGGGAATCCTGGGAGCCCAGTCCAGGCTCGAGACTGGCGTAAAGAGGGCCAGTGCGATCTCTGCAGTCAGCCTAGAAGACCAGAGAGAAAGGCTCTTTTAAATTTCCATTCTGCTGGGGCACTCATGGCAGCCTCTTTCCCTGAGCCTGTGGGCAGGAGATGGCACGAAAAGCAACTATGGAGAAGCTCATGTTGGCCCAGGAAATGGGAAGGTCAACACCTATGGTACCTTTAACATGGAACCTTTGTGGCAGGTTAGATTGTAATCTTTATAAATGACTCATAAACCACAGATGTGTTTTGCCATTAGTCTTGGGAACATGAAGTATAACTTTGCAAAATATCTTTGGGTAATTGAATAATAAGCACACACATTTAGCAAAATCAATTATAATTTTTAAAAACTGTATTCAGTGTATGACAATCAAGGATGATGATCATTTATCCCAGCTTTATTTTATAATAGTGAAAATTATCAGAACAATATAAAAATACAACTGTAGGGAAATGGTAAAATATTGTGACATGATAAACATAAATATTTCATATGTGATAAAATAGTATAGGAAAGTATTATGTACCATTGAAATAATGTTGATAAAACTTTATTAACATGGGAAGTTCTTGTTATAGTATTAAGGGAGACACATAGGATATAAAATTGTAGACATAGTTTGATTCCAATTATGTGAAGAACACTGGAGGGCAACATGCCAAGGTGTTACCAGAAGTTGCCTTTGGTGGAGGAATTAGAGGTAGTTTTTCTCCCCCTTCTATCTCTTCTTCTTTTCCATTTGCTGTACTTTCCAAATTTTCTACCATGAGCAAATATTACTTTTGAAATCAGAAAAAGTTTTTACAAACAAAAGTATATAACTAGAAAATAAAAAATTGACTAAAAAGTAGAAAAATTTGGAGGTAGAATTAGTTATGATCTCAGTGACCAATATGGTTGTTCATTTACCATCTGTTGAAGAGTAGATATTACAGCTCTGAAGTATATGATGTTCAAATACTCCTAAGAGAGATTTAAAAATCTCTGCAACGGTTAAGTAGAATGCACTTGACTCATTCTCCCACTACGATTTGGGGAGTCAGCAGATTCCACTCCAAACGTGGAAATGACTCACCTCCTGACCTGATGATGTGTCACCACCTTTATTCTCCTATGTCACCTCCTAGACAGTTGCCCTCCTTGTGATGACCCAAAGGGGGACTGTGGTGGCTGCTTGGATGCCTTCCTCTGCTGATTGCTTCACGAGAGCCCATGCCTGGTGGAGGGAGGGGAGGAGGAGGCTCGAGAGCTCTGGAAGTCCTGCTTTAACATCATCTGATCACACCTCCCTGCATTCTCCACCCTGCACGTTCTCCACCCTGCACTAGGGAGAGGCAGAGCCTGCTGACCCTGCTCCAGCCTTGCCTCTCTCTGCTCTGTTTTTCACAAACAGGCAAAGTGATCTGTGCACAGTGCCTGGACCGGTCATTTTCCTCCCCTGCTTACCAGCTGGAGTGGCCCTCTGTTGACTTCAGGACAGTTCTTTAAGTGCCCGCTTGGGCAGGCTCTGTGGCTGTCAGCCTTTTTTCTGACAGCTCCTTGCCTTGTGCCTCACATGCTAATCTGCCTGTGGTTTCCCCAGAGCACCTCCCCCTCTTTCTCACCTCTGTGTCTTCACATGTGCTGTTTCCTCTCTCTGGAGCTTTCTACCTTCAGGTGTCACCTACTCATTCTTCAGGTCTCTGGTGGACCCACGAATGCCATCTCCTGAAGAATGCCTTCCCTGGTCCTCATACTGGCCTAAAACAGCCTGTGCTTACCTCTGGCTTGCTTCCTGTCACTAGCGCTTGTTTGTTTGTCTGTCTCCTAGACAGGGCAGGTCTTGGCCTTTCTCACCAGTATTTCCCGGCAGCACCCAGGAAGTGTCTGACATGCAGTAGGCACTCAGTAAATGTTTGCTGAACAAATGTGTGTAGCTAATGGAAACCCAAAAAGAAAAGATGACTGTGTCTGTCCTCCTTCTAAATGAATGTGGGTTGCTAAACACTAATACTGCCACACTGGAAGGTCAAAGAGGGGAAATTTCAAGTTTTTGTGGCAATGTTAATTTTGGTGGTGATTTTAGTGGGGCTGCTCATATCTTTAAAGGGTCTGGTGCAAAGTACCAAAGTTAGTTGGACTTGAAAGCTCTATGATCTTTCTTAGGCTGTAGGAATGCAGGTTTTATTAATAGCTTGCAGTTGATTGATTGGTATTTTATTCAGTTGACCTTGAATTTGCCTCTGTGATCGATTTTCTAAGAATCGGCTGAGGTACTTGTCCCTAATGTTCCTCTGACATGACTTGAACAAACTGTTGGGGCTCGCAGGCACCACAGGTTATACTGGGGCCGATGAGTATACATATTTTTAACTTTAGATTCTTGAGCAACAGCTTCAGGCGATGAAGGCAACTTATCAGCTAAACCAAGAGAAGTTAGAGTACAACTTCCAAGTGCTGAAGAAGAGAGATGAAGAAAGCACAGTGATTAAATCCCAGCAGAAGAGGAAGATCAATCGGTAAGCCAGCATGGCAAGCAGGGCCCTTCTGTGTGGAGAATGGGGATGAGTATGCACTCTTGTCTTCTAAAGGGGTAGAAGCTATGAAAAATATAACAAACTCTTATTAAAAGAGTGTTTTGAAAAAGTTAATACATTCAAGTTTTTCTACCCTCTCGCCCTCAGAAAAAGAAAATATAGCTAAAGTCTTCTTCCAATTCCCATTTGTCTTGTTCCTTTTCCCACCTCTGTGTTCGTTTCTTCCAGAATTTCTTTATGTATACACAAGCACACACAAATAAATATTCTCATCACCCCTCTGCTTCTACACAAATGATGGCATTTTATGCACATTGTTCTGTGTCTTGAAGGCAGTTTGTATCAGTTCATAGAGAGCTTTCATATGATTTCCTGTGCTGCTTAGTACTGCACTGCACAGACGTGCTACGGCATGTTTAACCAGTCTCCACTGATGGACACACAGACTATTCCTCTTTTGCCATTGCAAATAATACCAACATAAGTACTCATGACAGTGTGCCAGTCTGCTTTCGAGTAGGCACTGTGGCTCATTGAAGGGTACCTATTGCTCGGATTTTCTCACCCATCCTTCCTTTCTCCCTTGTCTCCTTCCTTCCATCCCTTCTGCCTTCCTTCCTTTAAGAATTGTCTCCTAAGTTCCAGACCACTGTGCTAGGCTCTGAGGATCAGAGTAGAATGAGACATCTTGTTCAAAGGAGACAAGATTGAGGATTTCCCCCAAAGCCCAAATAACCTATTATTATTTATGAATTCTTCCACTTATAGGTTGATGATACACTTTGGGCAAATGTTGGGTGTATAGAGAAACACCAGTTGACCTTTTGATAGTTACTTATAACAGAAAGTAATACTGAATAAATGAGCCGGTATCTTAAGCCTGATTATCTGAGAACTGAGAGTAGTCAGGGGACAATATTTATAGGAAACTCCCACTCTATGCACTGTAGTAGACACGGGAACATCAGAGAGAGACACAAATCAGTACAGTGAGGAGTCATCTGGGAAAGCTTCCGAGGGATTGGGACAGTGAGGGGGTGGGGCTATGGATTGGCAAAGGGAGTAGGGAAGACACCAGGTGGACAGTGCAGGTAGCTGGGAACGGCAGGGCCGAAGGCAAGGGGGCAGGAGTCAGAAAGTTACAGATGGCACAGTGGGTGAAGAGAGTTGGTCAGAGGGGAGGCGGGAGGAGGTGCTAGAAGCAGAGCTTGGGTTTGATGTTCACGGCAGAGCGGAGGTGAGCGGAACCATTCCCACCATTCCATTTTCTCCTCTGACTTCAAACTCAGGCAGGTCTCCCTTAGCCTGAAACCCTTCAGCCAACCGTGCTGCTTCTCTCTAAGTACTATCTTTCTTTTTCTCTTGCTTTTCTTTCCCATTTTCCTTTTCTCATCTCCCCCGCCCAGAATGTTTCATAATTCCTGTCTTAGTTTGTGCTGCTATAACAGAACACCTGAGACTGGGTAATTTAGAAATTCAGAAGTTTATTTCCCACAGTGCTGGAGGCTGAGAATTCCAAGATCAAGGTGCTGGCTGGTTTGGTTTCTGGTGAGGGCTGTGAAGGGAGGAACGCTGTGTCATCAATGGCAGAAGAGTGGACGAGCAGGCTGGCAGAAGGCTCTGGAAAGCCTCTTTTATAAGTGCCGCAATCCTGTTCACGAGAAAGGAGCCCTCGTGGCCTAATCGCCTAGTAAGGGCCCCACCTCTTAATATGATCACATTGGCAACACTGAATTTTGGAGGAGACGCCTTCAAGCCATAGCAACCATGGCCCCAATACTGGACTAAAACTTCCCACAGTAGGGTATCAGTGATGCCCTTCTAGCCAAACACATGCCTTTTCCTCAGGCCTTGTCCTATTATTATTGGATACTCGACTTTTCTTTTTGTTTTTGTATTTTTAGAGATGGGGCCTCGCTCTGTTGCCCAAGCTGGAGTGCAGTGGCATGATTATCTCTTTTGGTTTTTGTTGTTTGTTTTTTGAGACAAAGATTCACTTTGTTGCCCCAGCTAGAGTACAGTGGTGTCATCATAGCTCACTGCATAATAACTCCTAGGCTCCAGCCATCCTCCTGCCTCAGCCTCACAAGTAGCTGGGACTATAGATGCACTCCACCACACCTGACTAATTTTTTCCATTTTTATTTATTTATTTATTTTTTGAGACAGAGTCTTGCTTTGTTGCCCAGCTAGAGTGAGTGCCGTGGTGTCAGCCTAGCTCACAGCAACCGCAAACTCCTGGGCTCAAGCGATCCTCCTGCCTCAGCCTCTCAAGTAGCTAGGACTACAGGCATGCACCACCATGCCTGGCTAACTTTTTCTATATATACATTAGTTGGCCAATTAATTTCTTTCTATTTATAGTAGAGACGGGGTCTCGCTCTTGCTCAGGCTGGTTTCAAACTCCTGACCTGGAGCAATTTGCCCGCCTCGGCCTCCCAGAGTGCTAGGATTACAGGCCTGAGCCACCGCACCCGGCCGTAATTTGTTTCTATTTTTAGTAGAGACAGTGTCTTGCTTTTGCTCAGGCTCGTCTCAAACTCCTGACCTCAAGCGACCTCCCACTTTGGCCTCTCAGAATGCTAGGATTATAAGAGTGAGCCACTGCACCTAGCCTCTTTTGGTTTTTATGACCCTAAAATATTTGTTCTTCTTTTTAAATTTATTCTTTTTTTTTTTTTTGAGACAGAGTCTCGCTTTGTTGCCTAGGCTAGAGTGAGTGCCATGGCGTCAGCCTAGCTCACAGCAACCTCAAACTCCTGGGCTCCAGCGATCCTTCTGCCTCAGCCTCCCGAGTAGCTGGGACTACAGGCATGCGCCACCATGCCCGGCTAATTTTTTCTATATATATTAGTTGGCCAATTAATTTCTTTCTATTTTTATAGTAGAGACGGGGTCTCGCTCTTGTTCAGGCTGGTTTCGAACTCCTGACCTCGAGCAATCCGCCCGCCTCGGCCTCCCAGAGTGCTAGGATTACAGGCGTGAGCCACCACGCCCGGCCTAAATTTATTCTTTATTTGTTTCTTTTGGTGGTTCTGCTTCTTCTTGTCTGACAATTCTTGAATATCTACATAAGATATTCCAGAAAGTGCAGCCCTTACCTTACCCCTTTGCTTTTTAATTTTTAATTTTTTATTATTTTTTTTGAGACAGAGTCTCACTTTGTTGCCCAGGCTAGAGTGAGTGCTGTGGCGTCAGCCTGGCTCACAGCAACCTCAAACTCCTGGGCTCAGGCGATCCTACTGCCTCAGCCTCCCGAGTAGCTGGGACTACAGGCACGCGCCACCATGCCCGGCTAATTTTTTCTATATATATTAGTTGGCCAATTAATTTGTTTCTATTTATAGTAGAGATGAGGTCTCGCTCTTGCTCGGGCTGGTTTCGAACTCCTGAGCTCAAACGATCCGCCCGCCTCAGCCTCCCAGAGAGCTAGGATTACAGGCGTGAGCCACCCGCGCCCGGCCTGCTTTTTATGTTTATTTCATCAGCCTCAGTCTCATAGTTCTGAATATCACCTTTTTGTTGATCACTACCAACTTCATATCCCTAATCTCGATCTAACTCCTTCACTTTCTATGGTGCTGCCAACGTAACAGTTCAACTTGGAGAGTCCCTGTCATTGCCAGCCTACGAGTTCTGAAGCCAGACTTGCCTCCTCTCCCAGTTTTCCAGTCTCCAGCCTTGCTCCCTTCATCTCTGGCTTTCAGCCAGTTGCTAAAGACTCTGGGCTTTTTGTTGAGCCTCCTCTTGTCGCTATTCTTCCTGTCCACTCTTTCACGTGCCATCTTGCCCAGGCCTTCAGTATGTTCCTGGTGCTTATCCTTGTATCCTTAGCTTCTATAATTAGATGACACACAGGAACTGCATGATATCGAAAAAGAAATGCTTTGGGATGACTACTTAAAAAAATTATATATATATATATTATATATATTTAACACCTGTATTTGGAAAGCTTCCTAGACTGCTGTAGTTAAGAAAATGGATTAGATATTTCTTTTATCAGAGACGAAGTTAAAAATTTTTTGCGTTTTATCAAATGTGAAAATATGAATGATACATGTTTGCAGTTGAGGAACTTTTGATTGCTTCAGAGTAATGCTTAGGAGAGAGAAAATTTTATTTCTTAGAGTTTTTAAACTTAAAATAGGTTGGCCTTCAACTTCTCTACTCCTGTGTAAATGGGGCATTGATGTAAGATGCCTCTTTAGTAGTTTGAAGTCTGAAGTATGGTCCTAGGTCTGAAAACTGTGCCTACCATGCATATTTTATGGGACAAGTTCCCATGCACAGAGCTCCTGTTAGCAGTGAAATAGTGACCTGTGCCATGCCTGGATTCACAGTGCTGTCGGCCAGCTTGTAACTGCCTTTTGCTGCCCTGAAGGCTTGGCCATCCCCTCCCTGCAAGGCGGGGTGAGTTAGATGCCTCATCTCTGGGCTGCCCTGGAACCCTGTGTGAAACTCGTGTAGCACTTTTCACGCTGCACTCTAATTAATGTTTGTCTTTGTCTTTGGACTGATAATTCCTTGTATTCAAACATATCCTTGGCACCGAAGGCATTTTATGTTTGGCGAATGAATGAATGAATAAACAGATGAGTTACTGGAACTGTTTATAGTATTGGCTCTTTGAGGTTGAAGGATTCATATATGATAGGTGTGTAGTTTTAATTTTTTCCTTGTTTCAGCAGTGAAATGAACATCCAAATCATGACAATGAAACAGTTGAGGTAGATTATTTAAGTATGTGAGGTTGACCCTAAATATGGACACTGACAAATGGTGTGCTGAAGTTTCCATCACACTCCTGGGCAGGAGACTGCCTCGTGGTGGGTCTGGGCTTGTGGATTGTTTCAAGTGCATTTAGTTCTGGACAACCCCAGTACCTTTGGAATGTGTGGGAGGGTTCTCTGCCCTTCCACAAATCTGACTCAGGGTTTGTTGTAGAGCTGAGTCAGGTGGATGAGAGGAAAATACATTATACCTTCTATTCAGCTGCAGATTAACTTTTTTTCCCCCTTTCAACCAGCCTGCATGATATACTTAACAATCTGAGAGTAAAATATGCCAAGCAGATAAAGCAATTTCAGGAGGAGAACCAGTCTCTAACCTTGGACTACAAACGTCTTGTGATGCAATTCAAGGAACTACAGAAAGCCATGAGGTATCTATCTTAGGGATGTGAGTCCTGGGCACCTGTCCTAGCATAGAGGTGGCAGGGGTAGAGTTTGTGGTGGCAGTGATTTCATTACCTCTCAACCAGGCACTAAAGAACCCTTTGTGCTGTGTTCCCCTGTCCCTTTACTCGAGTGTCACCTTCCTTTTCTTGAGTCTCGTTGGAATGGCTTCCAATTTGTCATAGGTGAGAATCGGCTGCCCAGGGTTGGGGCCAGGCCTAGGATTTACTACAGCTCTTCCTCATTTTCTTTTCCTGCTGTCAATTGAGGGGACCCTGGCCAGGCCCTGGGGGTTAGCTGGCTGTGCTTGGTGACTCTCCTTCACAGGCATTTTGCTCTTATTGATGGCGAGAAGTTTCGGGATGTTTGGCTGATGAATGAAGACGAGGCGAAGGATCTAATAGACAGAGTCTTTGCTGCAGACAGGATCATCCATGCCCAGCACCTGGGGCTCCCCTGGACAGCACCTGATTTCTGGTTCCTGAAGAATGTGGGGCCTATCTCCCAGCAGCAGCAGAAGAGTGCTACGCAAATAGTGGAGGAAGTGCTGATGCAAACAGGTGACTGGAGCAGAGTCATTAAACCTTAGAGCCAGAGGGGCCCTCTGAGGACATAGATATCTGGAGAGGAGGGGAGGAGGCCTCACAGCTAGGAGGCTATAGAGTATGATTAGTTGATATGGCTTTTAATTCTCCTCTAATTTATAGCTTTGCCCTCTCCCCTGTATTATAAACTGGCAGTTAGGTCTAGAAGCTTGATCAGATGCAGGTCTAATTTATTTTTGCTAAGTTCACTGTTGTGTACCTCCATCGGGATAAATTAATAACAGGTCGTATCTCTTTTTGTGATGTTAGCAACTATTAATAATTTTGTCTAAAATCCATTAATTACATTAGGGGTTGCAAAATGGTGATATTTTAAATTCTATCATTATGTCTTTATTTAATAGCTAGAACACTTCTGAAAAGAGCATCTTCCCCTCCTCAGCTATTTGCTATCTTGAGATAATTTGAGGAAAAGCAGGATAGATGCTTATTTTTTCTCTATTTGTCAGTTTTCAAAATAATGGATTGGATCTCTAGCATCTTCCAAAGGTACCAATAAATTTTTTTAAAAAATATCAGTATGAATGCATAGATTTTAACAAATTTGATGTGTTTAAGTTTATTGCAGTTATTATCCTTATTGGCACTCAAATTGTCCCATCTTTGGGAAGTGGGAGTCTCTTTATTGGCTTCTGGGTCCTTTTGATATGGCCCTAGTAGTCTTTGATGGCTTCCTGGTTTTCCAGAATGACCAGATGCTGGCATGTTCATTGTTTTGGATTGGCTATTATTTCTAGGCCTTTTCAGTGGACAGAGCCAAGGGGATAGAATTTTTTGTAATTTAAAATTTTTTTAAATTTTATTTTTTTAGAGACAGGGTCTCTCTCTGTCGCCTGGGCTGGGGTTCAGTGGCACAATCATAGCTCATTGTAACCTTGAACTCCTGGGCTTAAGTGATCTTCCCGCCTCAGCCTCCTGAGTAGCTAGGACTGCAGGTGCAAGCCACCTAATTTTTTGCCTTGGCCACCCAAAATGCCAGGATTATAGGTATGAACCACTGTGCCTGGCCAGATTTTTTAAATTATAAATCATAAGTTCACCTTAATAGTTCCTAGTTAATAGGATGGTAGGATTTTTACTCAACCTTACCAAAGTGTATCTCCTTTCTCCCAGCTGGAAAATTTTAGTACTCAGTGACTCCAAAATAATTACTCCTACGCTTTCTTCATAATACCACACAATAGTCTCAGAGAAAATATTAGCCTTACTACCAAGAAATGATTCCTAGAAATAGTTTAAACTGTTTTGTAGTTCTTTTTGTTCTTAAGATATATCCCTTTAGGGATGTACAGACAGATTACTGCATTTTAAAGTCACTTGGAATATTTTCTGTATAGTTATGTCAATTTAGGTATTTTTGTTTCATTTTACTTTTTAAAAAACATTTTTTAATTTTTAATTATTATTGGTACATAGTTGTATATATTTATAGTATTTCATTTTACTGTTGATTATTAGGGATTGCTTTTTGCAACTTAATTTTGTTTTATAGTATGTAAAATATTTGCATTTCCAAAGTCAAATGTGCAAAACAAGGTATATTCAAAGAAGTCTGGCTTTTATTCTCTATATCCCATTTCATTCCTCTCCTATATGTAACTATTAAAAAAAATTACAGTTTATTCTTCCATTGCTTTTTAAAATTATAGATAAATATATGTGTGTGTATATATATATATTCATATGAACCAACTTTTTAGGTAAATGAAAGCATATACTTTTTTCCACCTTGCTTTTTTTTGCTTATAATAAATAATCCTAGAGCTCTTTCTAGTGGTAAAAAAAAAAAATTCTTCATTTTTTTTACATGGTATTCTATCATGTGTCTGTGCCATAATTTATTCAAATAATCCTCTGTTGATCATCATTGGGATATTTCCAGTTTTTTGTTTGCTTATTTTTGTGATGACTAACATTGCTGTAATGAGTAGCTTTGTTCATTTGTCTTCCCAGATTTTTGCTAGTGAACTGCCGGGATAGATCCCTAGAAGTAGGATTCCTGGATGGAAGGGTAAATGCCTGTGTTATTTTGCTGGATACTGCTGCATAGATGGCCCCATTTTCTGTTCCCTCCAGCAGTTTGCTGTCTGGTACTTTGCAAAATCTTTTCATAGATACCTCATTTTACTTTTTGAATAGCCAGGAAAACTTGGATTGTACAATGATTTTTATTCTCATTTTCAGATGAGGAATATATAGTCCAAAACATTTAAACATTTTTAATTTTAATTAAGAAAATGTTTGGCTTTTGCTGTCAGCTGTCAGTTTTCCTGATAGTATTGCTCTGTGAGGCAGCTGCTCCCAGCACCCCCGCACTTTTAGTTGGCTGCTTCTAATCTGTTGCAGGTTTAGAAACCATATAGCACACTTGCTAGATCATCTCTAAAATAAGAATAAAGAGGCTCACACCCTCCCTCTCACTTGTTGGTTCATGGCTGGATTTTGAGAATGATGTTTCCAGGCAGATGCAGTTTAGAAAAGTGAGACATTTAGGCTGGATGAGAATGGCTGAGTTTTCCCGATAGTCTCTGACTCCAACCCCCGGTCCCCTTTTCCCGCATGTAGAAGGCTTTCTTCAGCACAAAGAGACTGGTAATGCCTCAAAGAGGCTTTTTTAGAGGAAGGTTTTCTCAAGGAAAGCCATCTGACTGTTTCTCAAAGGCAACTAGGCCAAGAAATTATCTTCCCTATACACACCTCACGGGGGCGGTGCGCACCGTCTGGGGGATGGACATTCTGGATGCTCTGACTTGGGTGGGGCAAAGGCAATATATGTAACCTAAACATTTGTACCCCCATAATATGCTGAAATAATAAAAAAAGAAATTATCTTCCTTTTCTTTCTTTCTCTCTCTTCCCTCCCTGACCCATCTGCAGAAGAGGAGGTGGAAGAGACCGCCTCAGAACCAGAGTCCTACCTGGACCTGCCAAAGCAAGTTTCTGCAAGAACCACCAAAAAGATCCTGATGCTCCTGTGTGATGAGTCGGTGAGGCTGGGCTGGGGCTGTGGCAGGGCCACACGCGTGCGTGCTGCTTCTGAGGATTCTGCTGGGCCAGCTGTGGCCTGGAGCCGGCCAAGCCCACCCCTGGCCAAGCCCAGAGACCCGGGCTGAGGACCAGGCCTGGTAGTGGCTCCTGGACGTCGGGGGACAGTTCACAGAGCTGGGTCTTAGAGCTGGCCCAGCTGGCAAATGGGTCTCACCTTAGTGGGTCAGCAAAGCACAGTCCAGGCCAGCAGGGGTCCTGCATGTAAAGCAGTGCTCGTTCTGAGCTAGAAGGGACACCATCCAAGTACATGAACCCACCTGCTGAGTACCAGAGAGCCACTGATTTGGCCCTAGTCTGGGAGCTTGGCTTAGGGTTACTCTGGGTTGTTAGGCTTTGGATATCTGCATTGTGTGGTAGCAAAAATAGAATAAAAGCTGCATTGGAGCTGGCTCAGCTGGATGTTGGGTTGTTACCAAACATGATCAGCTGGCTTAGATTTTGTGGTTGTTGGGGCAGCTTTCTTTGGCATGAGGGCTAGCTCCTGTTGCTGAGGGCAGCTCCTGCTGAAGGAGTCAGCTGGTGGGTCCTGCCCTCTCTGCCTGTAGCTTGACACCAGGGGCCACCTCCCACAGAGCCCCCCCCCCGCCCCCGCCCGGCTTCCCAGCCAGCCCTCTCCTCTGCTCCCTGTGCACTGGTTCTGATGTGGCGCGTCCACTGCCCTCCCCCCTTCCCTCCCTCCCTCCAGCTCAGTGCCTTCTGCTGTGTTCTGCCGATGTTTGGGGGCTAGAGTGCGGGTGAGGTGGGAACCTGTGCTGGTCAGGTTTGACTGCTGTGGGGACGCAGGGGTCTGCCCAGTGGCTTGTGGCTGGGGTGAGTTAGCCCCTGTATGAGGTGGGGGCAAGCCACCCTGATGGAGATGGGCTTTTGGCTGGCTGTGTTCCCCAGGAATGGCTCCCAGCATCCCGAGAAGGCCTTCTTCTGGGCCACTGCTGAGTCTTATCCCTGGCAGCCTGCCCCCTGGGCTCGTCCCTGGTGTGTTACACAGAGGGCAGCTGCAGACCCTGGGACTCCTTCCTGAAGCCTGTGTCTCACAGGAGATGCCTTCTTCCCTCTCCTCAGGGCTTCCTCATAGAGAGCAAGCTGCTGAGCCTCCTCCTTCCCCTGGAGAAGAGCGAGCGCTATCTGCTGAAGCTGGATGCCATCTTCTCAGTGAGTCCCACTGGGCTGAGGGGACAGGGTGGGTTGCAGCTTGTTCCATTCTGAGAGAGCGCCCATGCGTTCCCTACATTGCCTCGGCCCGGGAGTAGAAGACGGGCTCACTTTCGCATCCTTGCCTTGACTTACTCTCCACACGACCATGGGCCTCTGCACCATTCAGATGCCCCCCACCCAACCCTTTCTCTACTAGCTTCTTCCTCTCACAGCCCGGCTGTCAGAGTGTAGGTTCCCCCCACACCCCCAAACTCAGGTACGTGTTCAGCACCCATTAGCATTCTCACGCCCACTAGGTCTGTGCAGAGCGGTTCCCGACTATGAGCACGTTTCCATCTGTTCTGATGCACAGACCCCTGATTTCACTGCCATTTCCCACTGTTGGCTGATTGTCCTCTACTAGGGGCCGTGGCAGGCAGGGAGGTGCTGTGGGGACAAGCCTGCTCTTAGGAGCCGAGAGTCTAACTCCCCAAGCCTGTGGCCTCTTTGACGGGGTGTTTGAACAACCATCCTATTTTTTCCCCAGGCCCTTGGAATTGAAAGTGAGGATGACTTGTACAAACTGGTGAACTTCTTCCTTAAATACCGAGCTCATCGCATACTGTCTGTCCAGGTAAGGCGCGGTGCGGCTAAGAAGAGTGTTTTCAGTTCCCCTGGAAGCCCCAGAGGACATTGTTGCCTTTGAATAATGCTTCTGGAGAAATAGTAGGGGTTTTATGTCAGTTATACCTAACTTACCATTTTCCTTATTATTATTAATTTTTCTATTTGCAAAGGGAAGAACGACAGGGGCTGAGATGCTGTTCTCACGTTGAGGCCCAGGGATCTTTCTGTACATTCCCTCAAAGCCAAGTGTCAGCCGCTGTGAGACCAGAGCCCACCAAGTTCTGCATATTTTGGTCCTTAAACACCTTCCTGGAAAGCAGGGCCTGTCTGTAATACATCTCTTGATTATAACTGATTTCAGTAGGAGAATCAAATATCTACTATTCTGAAAAAGTTACCACATTAAAAATACTATGACATTTTAATTTAAAAATTAAAAATCTAGATGCTGGGCTTAGCGGCTCATGCCTGTAATCCTAGCACTCTAGGAGGCCGAGGTGGGAGGATTGTTTGAGTTCAGGAGTTCCAGACCAGCCTGAGCAAGAGCGGGACCATGTCTCTACTAAAAATAGAAAGGAATTAACTAGACAACCAAAAAAAAAAAATATATATATATAGAAAAAATTAGCCAGGCATGGTGGTACAGCTACCTCCCAGCTACTCGGGAGGCTGAGGCAGGAGGATTGCTTGAGCCTAGGAGTTTGAGGTTGCTGTGAGCTAGGCTGATGCCACGGCACTCTAGCCTGGGCATGAGGGTGAGACTTTGTCTCAAAAAAAAAAAAAAATTAAAAATCTAAATTAAAAAATATTTTTGGCCAGGCGAGGTGGCTCATGCCTGTAATCCTAGCACTCTGGGAGGCCAAGGCGAGTGGATTGCTCGAGGTCAGGAGTTCGAAACCAGCCTAAGCAAGAGTGAGACGTCATCTCTACTATAAATAGAAAGAAATTAATTGGCCAACTAATATATATGGAAAAAATTAGCCGGACATGGTGGTGCGTGCCTGTAGTCCCAGCTACTTGGGAGGCTGAGGCAGAAGGATTGCGATCCCAGGAGTTTGAGGTTGCTGTGAGCTAGGCTGATGCCACAGCACTCACTCAAGCCTGGGAAACAAAGTGAGACTCTTGTCTCAAAAAAAATATTTTTTTTTGGTATTGCTAGCTCAATGGTGAGTATTCTGATACACTTCCAAAAAAAGAGTTGGTTGAGTGGACAAAACCAAGAAGCAATAAAGGAATAAAAAGATACCTTTGCCTATATCAGAATAAAGTCTATACAGCAAAAATCACTAAAGGAAAGATAAGAAACAAATGACAAGCTGGGGAGAAATATTCTCAACTCATCACAGTTAAGTGTGAATTTCCTTAATATATAAAGAGCTCTCATAAGCCAGTAAGACAAAGATCAACAACTCAATAGAACAGACAACAAATATGAATGAACACCTCCAAGAAGAGGCAATACATAACTTTTAAATGTATGAAAAGACAATCAGCCTTCCTGATTGTCTTCCTGATTGCATAGAAATGCAAATTAAAACTGACTTAATTCCACTTTTTGCTTGTCAGGTTAGCAAAAAACCTGAAAGTTTGATAACACATAGTGATGACTGAGGTATGGGAAACTGGCATACTTATAAGTTGCTGGTAGGAGTATAAATTGTTGTAACCTCCTCTGAGGATAATTTGAAAATATCGGTTACAAAATTGTATACACTTTGTGGTACAATTCCTCTTCTAGGATTTTCTTCTATAGATTTATCTGAATACAGTTGAAATGATGTTTGCTGTAGCTTATTCACTGCAGCATTGTTTGAAATGGCAGAACATTGGAAACAACCTAAATGTCCATCATTGAGGAATTTGTTTAATAATATATTGTGCATCTACACAATGGGATACTATGCAATTGTGAAAAATCCAAAGAAATTCTTTAGATATTTATGTGAAAAGATCTCTAAGGTTTATTGGTATTTTTAAAAAGCGAAGTACAGAACTACATGTGTAGTATAGTATCATTTATATAACAATGGGAAGGTAAAATATATATGGAAAAGTATATATATTTATATATGTATTTGTTTAATAGGCATAATATTTCCTTGGAAAGATACATAAGAAACTTGATAAAATTAGTTTGCTCATGGCAGGTAAATTCAATGACGTTCAAGATAGGAGTAGGAGGAAGACTTTTTAAATTTAAAAATTAAACCTAAAATTTAGTTTGTATTATGATTTGAAAGGAGATTTATAGCATGTAAGCTTTACGAATATCAACACAATGAACACCTGTGATCCCAGATCTAGAAATAGACCATTATTGTCGTTTTGATGCTTCCCCATCCCATCCCCCCTCTTTCCCCTGTCTCTTATTTCTGTCCTTGGTAAATGTCTCCCTCTGCAAGCTGTCTGTAACTTTCTGTCAGCTTTTCTCTGTTTCTCCTCTTCCTGTCTCTCTGCACACACACATGCGTGTGTCTCCAGCCCACAGCTGCCCTCGCGCTTTTCTCCAGGTCAAGCCCCTCCAACAGGCAAGTGTGGAGCAGACAAGCGTGGCGTCGGACCTGGAGCTGGAGGAGCAGCTGGAGATGGAGGAGGAGCAGGAGGAAAGCCTGGAGGAGGAGGAAGAGCAGGAGGAAGGCCTGGAAGAGGAGGGAGAGCAGGAGGAAGACCTGGAGGAGGAGGAGCAAAAGGAGGAGGAGGAAGAGCAGGAGGAAGACCTGGTGGAAGAAGGCGTGCAGGAGGAAAGCCAGGTGGAGGAGGGGGAGCAGCAGGAAGAGAAGAAGACCCTGCCCTCCCCCTGGCTCATCCACCCCAACGATGTCCTCAAGATCCTGGAGGCCTTTGTCATGAGTCTGAAGAAGCCCAGGTGGGCCTTGGTGCTGGCGCTTGCCTGGGGGGGGGCGCTGGATGGGTGGGGCAGCCACGCAGAGCTAGTGAATGAGGAAGAGTCTGGGTGGGACATGGGGCGGGATGTGGGGAGAGAGTAAATGGCTCTCCCAAGGAGGGCGAGAGGGATTGACAGATGTACTCAGGAACCAAATATGGTGTAGTAGTGAGTGATCTGGGCTTTTTTCATTCATCATTCATTGATTCAACAAACATTTCTTTTAGTCTGCCATGCGTAGGCATTGTGAGATAACACCTTGTGATCAGAACAACAGCCAAAGCATATTCAAGATGTAATGTTGTTCAGAGGGAGAAGTGGTCATCTCCATCTGGCCTGTCAGAGAGGGTTTGGGACAGATGGCACCAGAACTGGGTGTTCCTAGGAGGATAAAGTAGATGAAAGGGCATTTGGGGAAGTAAAAGCACAAGGAAGGCCTGGATGTTCAAGAGTCATGATGGGGGTATGGCTAGTGTCCAGGGTCTGGAGGGCGGATCAATGGGAGGGGAGCCAGCCAGATCTTGGCAGTCCTTGAATGATGTGCCTAAGATCATTGTCTTTACTGCATGGTGGATAGAGGGAGCCATGATTAGATTTACATCTAGAAAGATCACTTTGGCAACAGGGAGAGGGTGGTGCTAGATATAGGGAGACCAGTCCGGATATGGGGAGACCAGTCCAGGGACTGGTCCAGGTGGTAGGTGGCGATCTCCTGGATTGAGGCTGTCATGGAGGGGACGGAGAGCACATGACAGGATGGAGAGCTGTTCTGACGCAGTGGTGGAAGAAACGGGCATAGCGATGAGCTGTAAAGCCAGAGAGGTAAACTGATTGGGAGGAAGAAGGGTGGATGAAACGCCAATGATGCCTTTACAATGTGGCAGCGGCACTGAGAGTCAGGAAGGTTGACGATAAGTGTGTCCTTTCTGAGACTCCGCTATCATCTAATAAATGTAGACAGCTGAGTAGGACGGTGACAGGTGGGAAGGCAATAAGTCTGTGGCTGGCACTGCGACTGGCACTGCTTGGGGGCCTGGGTGGTGCCAGGTGGAGATGGCGGTACCAGTGCTCTTGACCTGCAGGGACCCTCGGCCACCAGTGAGAGTGCCGAAGGCCACGCGCAATGACTCCAGGGACTCTGAGTACTGGCATGCCCTGACCACGGTTATTTCTCCCACCAAGCAGAACCTCTGGGATGCTCTCTACTCAGCCCTGCAGAAATACCAGTAAGTGTAGATGTTGTGGGCCAGGAGCCAAGGGGAGCTCGCAGGCAGATGAGGACAGTTGTTTGGAATGGCCACGTTTGCTGTCTCCCTGTCTCATGACATCTGGGATTGAAGACTGCTTTTGGCACCTCTTGCGGGGGATGGATCTCAGTGGGTGGCCGGCTCTCAGGCCTGTCCTGCCTGTTCCGTGCCTGCTAGCCTGGCTCATCTGGTGGCCAGGTAAATGGTGAGGCTTTTGGGGCCTCCTGCCACCTCCAGCCCAGACAGAAGCACAGAGACTCTGGCAGGGGCTGGAGGAGTCGATGGCCTCTAACCTGTTCTTCTGCCCAAAGCCTTGTGCTGACGCAGAGGGCCAAGCTGCTGATGGAAAACGAGGCTCTGGAGCAGCAGAACACGGAACTGCAGATGCTGCTGCAGCAGTATCTGGACTCCAAGGTGGGTGGTGGGGGCTCCAAGGAGGGGCGATGGGAGGCGCGGAGGGGGCCCAGGGGCTTGACACTGACATTGGGAAACGTCCCCTCCCCTACCCAAGGCAAGGGAGCTTCAAGCTGTGATGTAATAATCAACAGTTATTGGGCAAGGGGGTGGATATTGCCCAGGCCTCCTGCACGGCAGCCAGGGTGTGACAGCAGCCCTTTGGTGCTGGTGGTCTTTGGTGCCAGCTTCCTGTTGGGACACTCTTTTTAAAGCAAAGTGAGGAGTAGCTTCACAGCGGCAGCTCTCTCCAGCTGTGTTTCTGTCTTTCATGCCGTTTTACCGCTGTGAGAGCTAGCTGGGGCAGAAATTATTCTCCCATTTCACAATAAGGAGAATCAAAACTAGGACCCTCTGTGACTCGTCCAGAGCCCCTTCCTCTCTGCCAGCCAGGTTCTCTGGCCTGTGGTGCGACTGGAGGGTCGTCCTCGCATGGGGAGCAGGTCTGAGGATGGATATTCCCTGGCCTCCCCTTGTGCCTACTCCAGCCACAGTTGTGGCAATGTCCCCCTGGCCTGGCAGGGAGAGAAAGGGGACAGTCCTTTCCTAATAGTTGTGTGCTCTGCGTGTGGACTTGGATGCGGATCCTCCCACAATGCTGGGGCTGTGGGCCGGGGGCGCCTGACGCAGCTATCAGTTGCATGTGTGTGAGGTGACAGAGGCCAGCCTCGAGTCCAAGAACAGAGGATATGTGGCCGCAGCATGGTACCAGGTCCCAAGTCCCAGGCCACACCTGAAAGGGGGAGGTGGTGGCATTGGCATTATAATGGCCTCTTGGCCCATGACAGGACCCAGACATTTGGGGACTGCATGGTCCCTACTTGCATGGATGCTACTGTGTACAAGAGGACGGGAGGAGAAGGTAAGGGCAGGTCAGGACGCGGACAGAATGGGCACGTGAAGAGGAGAGGGAAGGATCAAAGAGAGCGGCTGGGAGGGAAGATTAGGAACCTCGTTGAGGTTCCTGGCTGGGCGGAAGCTGAGACCTGTCCCCTGAAGGAAGCAGCCTTTGACTTCTGAGGCCCCTTTCAGCTTTGGGGAGGAAATGCTTGCAGGGGTTTGGAGGCCCGAGGGAAGGCCAGCATGGACACGGGCCCCACAGAGGTCATGAAGAAGGAGGGCCCTGGGGAAAGTGTAATGGTTGTCACCCTTTCTTTTCCAGATAAACTCTCAGCTGCGAGTTCCCCCGACTCAGGTGTTGCGGATGCCCACAAAATAGAGCTGGGCCTCAAAAGGCTGACGTGTTAGGGCTGCTGCTGGTGTTGGTGCTGGGGCTGGCACTTGTCGCCCAGGGAACTGCACCTGGGCCCGCTCTCTGGATTTTCTGGAGTTTTCTTTATAGCCTGTCAAAATAAGGCAGCAAGAGGAGTTACCTGCATCCTGCCCTTACGATTAAAGTGTTTTATTAATAAAAGTTGTGGCTGAATCTCTTGAAAGAGGTCAAGTCTATGAGACCCGGCCCCTGCCTCCACCTCTGTGCCACGAGAGGACTGTCAGAGGCCGAGGCCGGCGGCAGAGAGCACCTGTCTGGCTCTGGGGAGAGCTGCTTTCTCTGGGTGAAGGCTGGAGTTTGGGCCCTTGTGGGGATCTAAGCCTCCAGACTGTCCTCGGGCCTAGAGGACTCTTGGTGCTTTGGGGGCCCCTGGGTCCACCCTGGTGTGCCCTTTGGGCTGTGTGAGGCCTGAGGTCCATCTTGAACCTTGGGCCAGGAGAGGCCACCCAAAGGAGAAAAGCCATCAGGCCCAGCTGGCATTGAGCTTACTTACCGACCTAGAGCCCTGCTGACTCTGGCCCCCACGCTGTGGCTGGCCTGTACCCGAGCAATGCAGACTTGTCAGCTCAGTGTTTGATTTCTTTTATTAAGAGAAAAGTCACCACCCAGGAAAAGAAAAACAGCCAACAGAAACTCAGACACCAGCGGGGCAGCACCTGAAGTGCAAGCCGCAGCCGAGGGGAACCAAGGCAGGGTGCTGCCTGGGGGTGCGGAGGGTTCGGGGTTCACTCTCCTGCTTGTCACCACTCCTCCTCTGGGCATGTGAGTGGAAGCCTGGGCAGAGGGAGCTCTGGGAAGTGACAGAGCCCATAGGCAGGACAGGGCCTGGGCTTGTGCACCCAGGCCACGGCGGCTGCCTGGGAGGAGGAGGAGCTGGCAGAGCCGGCAGTCGCAGCCGCCCTGTGGACTGGAAGGTTGGTCCAGGCCCCTGATGCACAGCCAAGACTGGTGCAGTCTGCAGGGACAGGGTGGGGATGCCTTTTGCTCATTCATTGTCTTTAACGCCCTGGGCACCGGCCCAGGATCCTTGGTTACTCTCATGAAAGCTTTAATCCTAGACTTGACAGGCCTGGGGGCGGCCTCCTTGGGAGCCAAGGCCGGAAGGGTGGAGCCTCAGCAAGGTGGGCAGTGCAGGTGCCCCCTTCCCATGCTCCCCAACCTATCGGCGGGCATCCGAGGGGCAGGGCGGGGCAAGCAGCAGCCAGGGCAGAGAGGAAGGCAGCCCAGCAAGCAGGAGGCAGCTCCCTGGGCCCAAGGCTCGAGGAGGGACATGGGGGAAAGTCCAGGCCGCAGGAGGGGCAAACATGGCGGCTGGGAGTGGTGCTGGTGGGAGGTGGCAGGCCATCACGCGCCCAGGAGCTTTTTGACCATGTAGCCAGGCATGCTGTAGAGGAAGAGGGCCAGCATGAGCAGCCCCAGCAGCGCCAGCACGATCTTGATGATGAGCCACTTGTACCGGGTGCAGATGAGGTACTTGATGGACTTGAGGGGGTTGAGGAACCAGACAAAGGCCGTGTCAGGCCGGCTGCGGAGCAGAGGGAGGACCCAGTCAAGCAGTGGGCCAGAGCCGCTCCCCAGGCATCCCCCACTTACTTCTAGACCCCCAGAGGCCCTGTCATGGCCACAGCTCCCAAAGCAGTGAGTGCTGAAGCCAGGGTTCGAGCCCAGGTCTAAGCACCAGATTTGCTACGTATAAAACTCTGTCCTCCCTGCAGGACCTCTGATGCCCCATCTACTCCCAAGGCCTAGATGGCACTTTTTGGCAGTGGGGCAGCCATGCAGCCACTACCTGCCACTTGCAGCGATGGGCAGGTACAGCCCCCACTGCCTGCAGTTCTACTTGTTAGCAAGCTCCTGTGGTGAGCAGTGCATTCTGTGTGCTGCCCCCATCCTCAGTGAGATCAGTGTTTCTCAACCTCATCCTGTCTGACGGACGTAAACTTCTGCCCCACCCGGCCCTGCGAGGGTCAGAGCAGCCCCCTGGGGCGCATAACAGCCTTGCTGACCTGCCCACACCAGATCTCCTCCACCTTCCGCACAGCCTCCTAGTGAAGAAGTGCTCACCTGACTTCACTGTCATTTGTGTTATAAAAACAATAGATTTCATAAAATGTGAAGATATAAAATTAAGGGACTGAGTGGCCAGGCGTGGTGGCTCATGCCTGTAATCCTAGGACTCTTGAACTCAGGAGCTTGAGACCAGCCTGAGCAAAAGAGAGACATCCCTCTCTACTAAAAATAGAAAAGTTAGAGTCGCGCATGCCTGTAGTGCCAGCTTCTTGGGAGGCTGAGACAGAAGGATCGCCTGAGCCCAGGAGTTTGCTGTGAGCTAGGCTGAACGCCACAGCACTCCAGCCCAGGCAACAGAGCGAAACTCTCTCTCTTAAAAAAAATAAAATAAAATAAAAAAATAAAGGATTCAGTGTGCTTTTTCAAACTACTACCTCCCAGTGGATGTGGGCTGCACCCCCAGAGCTGAGCTCGGTATTGGTGGGGCCACACGGAAAGGGCTCAGGCGCAGGGCACCTCGTTTCAAATGCCAGCTGTGGTGGGTGAATTAGGCACCTCTGTGAGCCTCAGTTGTTTCTAAAATGGGGTTAATAGTGGTCCTACCTCCTGGGGCTGGTGACATGGTGGAGGGGGACAATGGCTGTGGAGGTCTGAGAATGAGAGTCGGTGCTTAGGCAGTGGTGGCTGTTAAATGTTTGAGCTGGATGCAAGTGTCATCCTGCAGGGCAGAAAACAGCTCTGGATTGGGAGGTCACACCCGGGTGGGAACTATTTCCGGACTTGTGGCTAATCCTAGCCAAATCCTTTCTCCCTTCTGTCTGCCAATTGAGTTAGAGACTGTCAGGGCCGTTGCTGGGAGCGGAGTGGGTATAGTGACAAGAACACTGGATCGATGACTCAGAAACCTGGGCTTGAGTCCCAGCTCTACTCTAATTTGCTGAGTGACCTTGGGTGAGTGACTTCACTTCTCTGGCCCAGTATGTAAACATGGAAAATAGTCATTTCTAGTTCCAAGAGTCTATTATTCTGTCTTAACAACTTGAAAGTTGTCGTGTATGTGTGGGCTTGCGTGTGTACATGCTTGTGTGCACGTGTGTGCCTGTTTGTAAATATGTGAGCATGTGTGTGCACATGTGTACATGTATGTGCCTGTTTGTTTGTAATCATGTTTATGTGCACATGTGAGCATGTGTGCGTGCATGTGTGTTTGTGGACACGTGTGTGCATATGCGAGTGTGTGTTCCATATGCCTCCCAGCCCCTGGTGCAGAGGAAGGAGGGAGAAGTATCAGACCCAGGAGGCTGCGGGCTCAGGCCCTAAGAATCCTCTTGGCGAGATAGCCAGGCACGGAGTAGAGAAACAGGGCGAGGAGGAGGAGCAGCAGCAGGAGCACCAGCAGTCTGAGGAGCAGCCAGCGATAGGTGTGCCACAAGACGTAGCGGGCAGACTTGAGAGGGTTCAGGAACCAGATGAAGCTGGTGTCTGGCCGGCTGGAGCGGTGCAAGAGCAGAGGGACGTGCAAGGATGAGGGCTGGCTTGTGGTGAGGGCCCGGCCAAGAGGGAAGGCGAGCTGGGTTGCGTGTGTGGAGTTCTGGGTTTCTTCCCAGCCACCAAGGCTGGCCGGGCCCCAAATGCTACCACAGGAGCTGCTTGCTTTGGCAAAACCCAGGGAGAGCATTTAGCTCTGCTCAGTGGGGCCTTCCCTGGGAGAGGAACTGCTTCCCTGAGCCGATAGCTATCCTCTGGTTTAGAGGGAGGTGGTGAGGTTCAGGGGCAGCGGAGGGGAGGAAGGGGCTCCCCTGCTATGAGGCTGTGGCCCAGAAAAGGACAGAGAGGGTACCTGGGGAGAGGGTACTAGGGGCATAGAAGACTGGAAAGTTCTGGCCCCTCCTTCCTGTTCTAATGCTCCCAAGAATCTGTTCCTGGCAGGAGGGCCAGGCAGGCAGGGCACTCACTTGGGTTTCTCTAGGGGGTCAGGTTCATTGCGGGCCAGGCCCACCGGATTCTTCTCCGCCTCCTCTGCAGTCAGTAAATGCAACTCAGCCTCCACCTTGCCCTGCAGAGAAGGACAGAAAGGTCCCAGTGCCCAGGCCAGGTGTGGGCCCTCAGTGCCCCAGGTGGGGCCAGCCCTGCCCACGCCCATGGCCCGAGCAGGAGGTGGTGCCCACCGTGAGCTCAAACTCATCATTCTCGTTGCGGGCCAGGAGGGGCCACCAGCCCTTGACACGCTTCTGCTTGAAGATGGAGACCAGAGGCACGTCCACCTCCCCGGTGGCCATCTCCATGGTGCACTGCTTGGCTGTCTTCGCGCCCCGTGGGAACCGGTTCAGGTCCAGCTCGATGGCCCCTGTGGCAAGCTCAGAGTCAGCTCTGGGTGAACAAGGCAGGGGTAGGGGGACACGGGGATGGGGTTCTGGCCTCCTTGGCCCCTTGTGTGCTGAGTGCGGACTGCCCCAATCCCGTATCTCATCCTCCCTCTTCATTCCAGCTCCTTGGCCTCAGTCGAGGTCTCTGGGCAACTGCCCACACCCCTGTGCTTTGCTCAGGCCCTTCTTTCAGCCTGGCAGGGGTCTCTCCCGTTCCCCCCATGCCTCCACTTTGTTAAAGTCCTGCTAATCCGATAAACCCACAAGCTTGCAGATCAGATTAGAGTTTTGCCGGGAAACTTTGCTTTACAGAGGAGCAACCTGAGGCCCAAAGAAGTTTCATGACTCCCATAAGGAGCCTCGAAGATCCCCCCATCAGCAATGACTGTCCCCTCCTTGGTGTGCTCAAAGCACCTTGTCAGCCTGATCATGACCCTGAGGACATCTGCCCAGGCATGGTTAGTGGGTTCCTGGGGCCATCTGATGCCTCTGGCTCTGACAGACTGGAAGGAATGATGCTGGAGCCTCAGGCTCACTCCCCCTGTCCCCACCCCTGCGCCTCCTTAGTTCTGTATCCCAGGCCCTGCCCCTGCCCTGCTCCCCACCCAGGAAGTCGTCGGCGGAGAAGTGGTCGGCATCCCAGATCTGCAGCGTGAGCCGCGCGGGAATCTTGTACTCGGTCTCGTCCCAGGAGAACATGGACTCCTTCTTGGAGATGACAATCTTTTCCTCAGCCGCCAGGTAGTCGAAGGGGAACAGGTAGCGCCAGTTGAAGTT